CTTCTGAGCGGCCAGATTTCTATTGCTTAATATTTCAGATATAAATGAGGGATCCTTGTAAATCAGTTGAAGGAGCCTTTAGATGTTCAAACTGTGAACGCGCAAATTATCAAGCGGCATGCAAGTCTGCCTACCATAAGTATTTTGCTTCTCATTTTATGTGTTTTTTTTTTTAATTTAATTTATGTTTATTTATGAAATATGAACATTTTAATGAGTAGTTGATTTGATTTAACGATCTGATAAAATGGCATAAAAAATATAGCATAAGATATCTAGATCTGGATAACATTCACCTCACGCAAATAAAATGCACTTCAAATATGGAGCTCCAATTGTGTTGAATATTTTCTACAAAAGTCGTTTTGCATGTTATTACAATAATAGTAAATCGCCCGCTTGGTTAAGTAGCAAAAATAAAAAATACAAAAGTGTCGTACGTAGAAATAATGGAGAAATATCGAGTACCGAACAAAATAAGCGTAATCCTCAATGGGTGCTAATGGCAAAAATCAGCGATAGAAATGCGTGCGCAGTTGGAAAAATCGGCCTTCGGTTTTGATGGACTCCGTAAATATGGTGAGGAAATAACTTTTTTGAGGGTCATAACTACGTTGGGCGAAACATAATTAGAACTTGGCAGAGCTTACGGAAAGCTCGATAACCAAATAAACCTATCAATCAAGCTGAAATAAAGCTATCAAACAAACCATACCGCTTGGTCACCATCGAGTTGACAAAAAATAAGCCTATAACGGCAGCATAGTCAAGGTAGTATGTGTTGTAGGCAAAAGTTCATCCGTTAGTCGTTCAGTATTTGCGCTACGGTTATATATTACGAAATGAGTATAAAGGTAATTAGCAACAAATGCTCGCATCACTTTCGTAAGACTTTTCAAAGACCAGCCAGGTAGAGTTTGTTCATAGCTTACTCTACGCGTAGTGCGACAACTTTCGTAAGTAACCACTTTTCCTTTGGATTTTTTGTTAATAAAAGAGCTTCATGTGGGTTAAATTTCGACCTATCCGGTTCCTAAAAGCTCATTACGAATTAAAAATGTTTAAAGGGGTAACCCAAGTACAGAAAAATGTCCTTAGAAGTACGTAAGGTCCTTCTCCTACATACCCCCGTCTAACATAATGTTCCCTAAAAAATAAAGAAAAAAACAAACCTATTCGGCATTTTAGTGTACCCAAAACCATCATAGCTTACTGCATTAACCTACCAAAAGATTTTTAGCCCGCTAGATAGCTAGCCATGTCTGACCTTATGAAATCCTTCTATTGTATCGCGACATATCGTTAGCGGTGGCAATTTTGTGGCTGTCACCCCCCAGCCTAACAGCTACGGGGACGTCCTTGACTCAGTCGGCGTATGATTATGCCTTCTTAAAAGTACGTTCTAAAGCTTTCTCGGTACGACGACTCGACAGCAGGTCAATTTAATTGCTTATTAAGCTTTTGTCTTGTTTACAGGGTCCTCCCCCCGCCCCTGAAACAGTCTTAGCCTATTACCCATGTCAATATTTCTAAAAGTTTGTTGTAAAAAAAAGGGGGGGGGGGTGCCGCCCCACATAAGAAGGACTAATCGAGTTCGACTCATATAAACGGCGTATTTCTCTACGCCCGTGAATCGATATTAGACTATGGCTCCTAGTCCCTCTTGACAATTATTTCGCATACAGATGGCCTTGTCATCCACTCAGTTCTCTCTAATGTCGTCATCGGATTAAATTACGTATGCGATTTGAACTTGTTGTTTATTTAGGTAGAATCGTCACAACTCACACTTCACCACAGCTTTCCTTCATGGAACAATTCGGTGCCGTTACTGGCTTTCGCCTCTCTCTAAAGGCAACTGACTTAGATAGCCTCCGTTATGCACGCCGCCGTTGACGAGCAACTATTTCGGCGATGTTCCTTTTATAGGTCTTCGTCACTTAGCATCCTCCCCAACCTGGTCACTTCCTGCCTGACTTCTTACAATTCGCTCAGTGTATAAGCAAAGACGGTGCTTATTCTGTGCCTATCGCAAATAAATTAGAAAATCAGCCAGAGAAGCTGTGACCGCTTTTCCTACTTCTTTAGATGATTTGGCGGCTATCCAGCGTTCACGGACGGTACCACGTCAGCGACATGCCCTTAACTTCGGCGTCGAAACATAGCAGACTATAGCGCCTTAGTTGTTGGTGCTGCTATTGCGCCCGAGGCTACCAAGAACTCTAACACTGTCATTGTGCTTAGCATGGTGAGCATCGTGTGGAGAAGACAAACTGTTGAAGCAGCTCAAATGGTCGACGGCGGCGGTGGGGGATTCGTCGGTATGCCGCCTTCCTCTTTGAGTCAATAACGAACGAACTATTCGGAATACAAGCATGCGATCGATAACGATAGCCAGTCGGCAATCGGGCTAACGGGAACGTCTGTGCTAATCTGCTCTGATCCGTCGGCCCGTTGTTTGCCTTGTTTGTTGCCTTATCAAACATGGTTAACCCCAGTGGGCTAAGTTAGCCGCCACACCGCACAGCCTCGCACCATGCTGCATCGTTCCGAGCTGGGCCGGATAGCGGTGCGCGCGAAATCTTGAGGACTGCGTCTGGCGTTATTACTGCAGCATAGCGGAAGAGCCATCGGTGCTCACATCTGAATGAAATACAGACATTAGTCGTGAAAACAGCAGACTAACGGGGAAGTCTAGTCTGGCCAGACTCCGAAGCAACCCGTCGTCAATCGCCGTCCAGACAAATCGTCCTTCTCAGACAGGTCAGCTGGCAAGGCGGTAAAAGCAATAGTAGTTGGCAATGCTTGTTTGTAACCGTTAAAAGCACATATCAAGCAGTGTGCCCGTATTAATAAAGAGGCTTCCTTTTCGACTGCTCCGGTGGTTTTTGAATTCGTCTTTGACTCAAAATGTTGGCAACGTCGACAGCTATTGCCGTTGACTGTCGCAGGTGCTGCTGTCCGTCGACCCATTTCATTCCACTTTGTATCAAGCTCACTTTCCAGCCTTCCATTTCCCCCAGATCCCGCATACCTATGGATATCCAGGCGGGCCAGCTGCTGCAGCAGCAGTAATAGAATTCAAAAATAAGTTTTACGACTGTTACAAACGATATTCTCTCAGTACATCAATTGACACACGAAACTATTCCCTCACGAGGCACACGAAAAACGGGTAGACCCCAAAGCTATAGAGCTGACCCGAAAAAAAGAAACCATTCTTACCAACAGCTTGGGTCTTCTGAAGTTAATAATGATTATGAAGCTATAGTAGATGCAGCAATTTATAAACATGTCCCTGAGTAATTGTATCTATAAAGAGAGAGAGGGGGAGAGGGAGAGAGAGAGAGAAACTTCTAGAAACCAAGTACTCAAAGAAACTTTATATGGGGTCTAAAAGCTGAAACTATAGTATTAGCTTGATAGGTAATGTCTGTCTTTGCTGCTTACTTGTGGAATATGCCCGGTGGCAAAAAACAGCTTTTCCGACACTTTTATTCGTTTTTTTTGTTAGGACATAAAAAATGCCGCTCTCATCCAGATCAAGAGAGTATGTATAGTGAGAGCTCTATAGCTAAGACTATTATTCAAAGGTGGCATGGTAAGTTTAGAAATGGCAATTTTTTTTGTTTATAGAATAAATTCGGCCCCACTTTTCAATTTTGACAAGGATCATTATAATAGTTTTTTGCAGGCGCATAATTAGTAGATATGTCTCGGGCCCTCGACTCTGGGTTTTACACGAGTATGTATAATTGAACCGGAAAAAAATGTTTGCTATAAATTTTTATGAGACAAATCAAGTTCTGTGATCTTGTTATGCTATTGTTTGACGAAAACTAAAAAAAAATTGAGGGTCAAAGAAAATTAATATATATCAGATGAGCGCCCAATTAGCTTAGGAGGAATATTGTCCAAAAATCATCAGTTAAGATTATTTAATTTGCAATGTTTTGTCCAATATCAGAGTACAGCCATAGACAAGCAAGTGTTTGGCAAGCATTAGTGGACTTACCAGAACGTAAACTATCCGTTCAATGTTAATGTATACGAAATGTACTAGTCTAGAAGCAATGGGATTGTCGACATTATGGTTGTCGTTTGAAAGCTTTTAGATTATCTAGCTGACAAATGTTCACCTATTAGTCGACACAGGTAACACCACTGGAGAAACTCTGTCATCGTATTTGGATCATTTATTTGTCCGAAACGGTCCTAGGTATTGGACACGTTGTACGGATTGTACGTCAACAAAAACTCGATAGATAGCCCGATTTTCCATCATTAGTGAAATTCAAGTAGCGGCGCGGGCCATTCAAATCGTTCCTTTAAATGTCTGTGTATGTCCGTTTCAACCAGGTAGTTAACTGAAGAATATTCCAATGAACGGAACACGCTGGTACCATAACAGTCATATAACGATCGTTCGTGCAATTTACACAGGTATTTCTTTGACCTTCAAAAGAGCAATGTGATTACAGAGAACAACAACATCGTATAACGGTCATCATCAAATGAATGGTCAAACCCACTTTCTGAACCGAACGTACCAACGCAATGCACCAGACTCGGTGGCCCCTCACAAATTCCTCTATTTATTTATACTTTTATTACCATTATTATTATGTTTTTAAGCAGATTATAATTGTGTCCACGCTTCACAGCAAAGCCAGTTCAGCTAAATTTACTTAGCGTAGGTGTTTTAGCGCCATTTGTCTAATCGATTGCCTAATTCATCCAATTTGTGTGTGTTCGTGTGTAACGCACCAGATCTGGTGCTCGATATTATCTGCGATGATGTCTTAAAACATTACCAAACTATCAGTACAAGCTGTCGTTCCAGATCGAGATAAGGTAACACCAATTCAGCTAGCGCTATTATGCGCCGCCGTCTTATAAATCTAACCCTCCCCCTATCTAAACAGTTGAAAGAAATCCCGCGCACAGCTTATCTTTAATCATTACAATCGTCTAGTTCACATAGATGGTCAAGCACTTACCGACTATGCAGCCGATTAAGTTGTCACTGTGAAACGCAAGAGTCAAGCTAGTTCCGCTTGAAGACCTGCTGCCTCGCACGCTGTCGTAAATCCGTCTTATCCGTAGATTGTTGCCACCTTCTGTAGGGTTTGCGCTTCTACTTCCTTTTACTCTTCTGTTAAGTGGAAGCTTGGCCGATCTCTCATCACCTCATCGGGCAACTTAACCCTTGGCACGCCGTATTAACTATAGGCCGTTCGTTTTACACGCGCACTTCTTTCCTTCGTACTACCGCCCAATATGAATATTCACTTGCACGCTCTCGTCAACTGGCACACGCGATTGGAACACCACGAATTCTATAAGGCAGCACTTGTCTCACTAATTGATCGCAACGAACCGCTCTGAGAACTCTGAAGAGGTTTACAAAGCAGGTGGAGCTTGGACGGCGCGTACAGCTGACCGGCCTGAGAAACAATAAGCAATTGGAAACGGCGTGGCGTCCTGCGTGCCACGAGTCGACCCTGTTTCAGATGGGACGTGTACGTTCTTCACCAGTTGTACGACGAAACTTGCAAGATCTGCACCGTGAGCACGATCACGACTGACGGAACTATCAAAGCGCTCAGTCGTTTGGTCGACCTGTCTGTGTGTCGGCGTCTCGAAACGACCGCCGCCGCGCCGCCGCCACCGCCGCCGCCGCCGCCGCCGCCGCCGCCGTAGCAACGCAGCGGACACCTTCACCTAGCGTTTAGTTGGATGAACCACTAACGCCAGCAACTCAGCTGCTGGCGCCATCGCCGGCACCATTTCTCTTTCACTCCCTGACTTCCCATCCCAACAGAGCGGAAAGCGTGTGTGTTCATAACAAGCACGCTGTCAGTCCTTCTCACTCTACTCCGACGCCGCTGCTGTTAGCGGCCGGTGTTGAATGATTGGCTAGAGCTGCTGGCGAGCAGACAGGCGCGCGTGCAACTACCGTCAGCGATTTACTGTCTGTAGATCTGGCAGTGGAGCTGGCCGTAACATCCGCGCCAGCGGCGGCAACGACTGACGACAAGAAAGTTCGCCGTCGTAGAATGGACGAGAGTGCGTGGACTCACGGATGCCTTGATAAGCACATGTGGGCTTACGAGCATAAGCAGTTCTGCGGTTATTCATACGCTGGCGAGAAAAACAACTCTACCGAGGGTTAGCAAACGTTGCTGGCTGCAGCGAATCCTATAGCAACAACAATCACAAAGTGGCGCGGATACAGACACTGTAGTTTTGGTAGCGTGACAAAGCGCTCGACGCTCTGAGCTTCTACTACGATTAACATGTTACCACTATTAAGTGCAATTGAATCGTTGCACGACAGAGCATGATCATGTTTGTCGTGCTTGCATCCGAACGACGACATGACTGTCTCGTTACTCTATAGTAATCCCTTGAAGAACGTACACCTGACGACGAACGTGGAGGTGTTCTTTGGACAGAGAAATAAGCGTCAATCGTCTGCCATACTTCAACTTAACCCGGCTTTATCTGAATGAACATGACGAAAAACAACACAGTCCTGAATTCGGCCATGTACCTTTGTATTCGGTCAATGCTGGCTGTTGTCGTAAGCGTATTAGCCCATACAAATACCCACACAGATACACACACACACACACACAATCACTGCAGCAAAACCTGCAAAAAAGTAGAACAGTTCAACTTCAGTAAAAGTGTTAAGGGTTATTATTATTTATCTGCTTTGCTTTTTAGTTTTTCCCCATCGACGTTTGTGAGATAAAATAGTGTTGGGTTGTTTCCTTTGCTTTCATTAAAAAGCAAAGTAGATTTCATACTACTACAACCAGGCAAGTAGGCTTCCCAATTCCGTGGAGCTGTCACCCGCGTGATAGGCGCGTTTGCTGGGGTCGTTTGTTGGATTTACGGATATCGGCAATTGTTGCCGTCGAATCTGGACGGACGCAATTTGTGGCTAATAGTACCAATATTGTCATCCGCTTGGACTGTGGTATGCCAACTGGAGGCAACTGAGCTTGAGTGCCGTTTAAGGGCAAAAGCGCGCGCAAAGTGCATACATGCGAAGACGAAAACGCACCGTCTACCCTTGCGAACTAACATAATTGTGTAGTATAGATTGGAGCGTTCCAGACGCCGCTAATGTCATACGTAATAATAATAATAATAAACAACATAGGCCTTCTGTTTTGCCTTTTAATGAATATAAAGCTTTGGCTGAAACCTTTCCTGGCTCCAATGCCCGCTGCGTCGCGTTGGCAGTGGGTCGCTGCGGTGGACAACGCGCGACTGGCGAGTCGGGGCCGGTTAAGAGGCCAGTAACGATTTGCTCCTAACAATAATCTGGTCTTACTGTGTTTGAAAATGTTGAATAATTATAGTAAACATCCAATGGATTTTTATAGGCCTCTGATTAAATATGTGTATATAACTGAATCAAGATCGAGGAAGACCAAGTTTTCTGGCAAATTCGGCTGGTTCCGCTCATAGCAAGGGGATCCACCAGGAACATTTTGCACGAATGCGAACGCAGCACCAGATGGCCGGGAGGCCCTTGCGCCTTCGAAACCTTAGGAGGTTATTCGGCTACGCGTATCCTACTTTTATATCTGGCAACGACTACCGCATTTCAGTTAGCTTAATCAAAAATTTTCAACGTTAAGCTGATGACCGCTGGCTCGAGTGTACCAAGTGCGATGTACACAATTTTGTATCGATAAAAATATACTTTATTTAACTCTAACATCCACACTAGATTAAGGAGTGCAATAGCTGTTATTACGGAAGCACACAAATGTAGTATTATGTGATAGTCGTCAGGGAATAATCTATGCTGTCATCTTTTGCACTTTCTCCGTGTGGTCCTTACGAACACGTATGTAATTGAGCGTACGAAAGACCGATACTTTCGGGTATTATGGCACCATAATGCTTTTCTATGAAATTTTTGTGGGAAGCTAGCTTCAGCCTGCAGGCGTTTGGGAACTGATGATCAAAACCCTGTAGATGAAACATTAGCTCAACTCCTTTTAACACGTGGGCTCTTAGTAGTCCCATAGTATGTAAAGTAAAGATAACATAAGTATTCAGATTCCTACATATCCTGCGTGCACCAGAGCGCCGGGGAAAAATAGGCGCAGTTTCAGAAGTTCGTTACCCATTCCAGTTTTTGTGTGTTTACCACATCCAACTAAAACTATTGCTCAACGGTCTTGTCACGTTATACACCGTGACACCTCAGATAACACCCGTTGTTTGAGAAAGCAATGCATAGAGAGATAGTTACTCAACGAATCAAACTGTTAGGCACTTAGACACGTTAAAGTCCTTCAAATCTCAATCGGACCATGGATTAAAATGGGGCCGAAGCAGCCAGCCAATAGTGAGGTCTTAGCCAATATTCAGTAAGATAGCTATTGGCGTTTAGTTCTATGCGGGGTTTTACCTGCCAAATGCTGACGAAGTGAAACGCACGTTGTTAATATGTTGTCCAGCAGAAACATGAACCAGGTGCCTCGAAGTAGCGCGTTCTCCCTAGTTATTTGTAAAGAAACCCATGTTTTTTGGGGTAAAAACCTAAACATTAAACAAAAATTAAATAAGCCTGTTGTGTCGTAAGAAGGAAATAGCTCCTCGTAATATATAAGCACTTTTTATTTGTGCTTGATTCCTGTTCTAGTTCCGTACTAAGTAGAGCTCGGACACACTCAAAGCGTAAATTGGGACTCAGAGTGAAAAATCCTTACAAATTATAATCCCAGCTTATGCAAAGATCACAAGCTAAGTATAAGGTCAAAAGACAGTGTGCATATCGCAAAAGGCAGAATTGCTCTGTCCATGTATAACCCTACAGAACGAGCTGACTAACTTTATCCTGTGCAAGAGGACCACACGTACCTCTTACGTATTTCTCAACAGATGAGTTTGTCAGCATATGCGCTAAAAAGATCTTGATTATAATAGATATATTTTATTGTTCACCACTCATTTTTTATATTACATACAAAAAATTACACTTTATTGTTATTAACAGTTGCGTTTGTTGATTGAGAATATTGTAGAGCTAGTGTGGTGCGCTGTCAATAAAGCTTAATTTAAACTTAAGAGTATGGAATGACAAAGGACTAAAGAAGAATTTGCGGCTGGGCTATAGTACTGCTTGAGCAATCATATCTAAACAAAGCCGGAGTAACTTTTATACAGAGTCCAAGTGACGCAAGCGTAATTTCGTTTCTTCCTTCAATGCGGGGTATACCATTATTATTGCATCCGATACTTTTAAAAAAACAGGCAGAAAAACATTACGTCACATCCTTTCATTGTAATAAAAACACCATCTTGATAAATCGCATTTCTTGCATGAACTCAAAAAGATTCTGCTTTCTACGAGCACAGTTTCATCGGAAAAGTCCTCTCGCAATAACAGATCTTGCTGGATAATGAAGAAGGCATCAATCTATCTGGGCAACAGTGACCCAAACTGGCCTTATTAATTGTTGTAAACCCACTTTTTTTTCTTACCGAACAATAATTATTTGATTTCTCTGTCTCAAGGCAATTATTTTTCGCAATACTCAGCTACATTTAAAATCTGAAAATCTCATCTTCGAGAATTCAGAGTTTGTATATGTTCATTAGCTTATCACCAACTATGATTCCAGCCATCTCGTTACTTTCGGTGATTGCAGACGACTGCAAAGGTTCCATGTGTGAACGAAATTATCAAAGTCTTATTTTCGTAAGTATCCGCTCAGACAATCGGTAATCGATTAAACCTTCCGGTTGGAAAACTCTATTCTACCATCGTACGGCACAGCTTTATCGAAGTCGAAAGAACATGGTGTTTTTGTTGTCCACGTGGCAGGGTGATGGATTGGATGAAGTTCTCGCCGATCTAAAGTTAGATTCATTCTTCCATGATTATTGAGTTTTGACAGGTGACATCCGAACATCTCGTACCGAATATTATTATCTCGAAAACGCTTGGTCTGTCCTTGGTTATGCTAACGAAGCACGCACTTCGTCCTTATTTTTCCTGCCTTTATCCCCTCAGCCCCGGTTACTTCACTATCTTCGGTTTAAAGAAACGTTCGCCTCACTCGTGCAACTCAGGTAGCCCGTAACGCCGTTTTGCCGTTGAAGCAGGGTCAACTGAAGCTCTAACTTGCCTATACGATAGCAGAATTTGCGCAATATTTGCTCGCTTCTTGCATGACACTGCCATATAAACGACAGAGGGCAGGAGCGGCTCTACGAATCGGACGCTGATAATGCTACGTGGTACAATTCAACAACGGTCTGTCCGTAAGGGGGCACTAGCGTTATTTTTTGTCTTCCCCTTATTCGTATTGCTAGGCGCTTTAATTAAGGCCTAAACACGATTCTTGACTAGAAATGTAGTTCCGGTAGGACCGGATGATATAGATCAAAGTAAAATATGTCATACAAATGTCATTTACTTCGGGTGGGGAGGTGGGGGCAATGAGAGATTAAAACGAGACGGAAGATCAGCAGTAAGGAGTTGCTACCGATCATGAACGCTTCAAGGTAACCCGTGACTGTGAAGCGACGTCGATTATGTATCGATGTTACGTAACGCCGAGGCAAGCATATTTGTAGCATTACTGCGAACATCCAGAAATAATTGTA